ATGGCCACGGGCTTGCCGTCGTACTCGCCGAAGAAGATCTCGCCGTACGCCCCGGACGCCATTTTGCGCGTCGTCACAACGTCCGCTGCCGCGATGCGGAGAAGGTCCAAGTCGCCATAGTCGAGCGTCGCACTGCTCATGGTCGCGAGCGCACTGCCGCTGTGGTTTAGACTCTCGCCCGCTTGCGTCGGTAGGCGGCGCGCCGAGTGGAGACGCTGCTGCGCCGTGATGATGAGGTCCTCCTTGAACGCGGTTTCTTGCCGCCGGCGATAGCGCGCAAACCAGCAAAAGCCTATCGCCGCAAGGAGCGCCGTTCCTGCGACAGATAGACCAACGACGACGCCCGTGCTCAGCGCTGGCGCGTCGTCGTTGAGCTGACGGCGGCGGCGTTGAGCGAAGACAAGCGGCGCGGATAGCAGCACGAACTCGAGGACCGCCATGGCGCGCGGGTGGCTGGCAACACGCGTACGGAAATGCTACGACGACACCATGGGCAACATAGCCGAGATAACGACACGATGTTCGAGTACAAGAAACGATCTTTCGCGCAAGGGCGCTTCGTTGCTCTTGGCGCTGTCGTAGTATCGGCTCGAGTCGTGCGACGGCATGCAGACAGGTTGTCGTACCGGTACATTTCTGGAGGTGTTTGACTGCACGTGTTTGGTGCTACACGTTTTGGCTGGCACGCAACCTCTGCATCTCCAAGCCTGCCTCAAGCACCAAGCTGCCGAGACAACGCGTCCGCTCGACAAAGAAAGAACTCCGTAACGTCTGCGCGAAACCCCAAGTAAACCCTGCGAACTTACGTGGCGAGACACAGACCTACTAAGTCGGCGAGAGAACGAAAGCATTCCCATCGATTCAAATCGATAATGCACTCTGCTTCGCGCAGGATCCGGACCAGAAGGTTATCCGGATCCGGATAAAGATACGCCCGACGATCTTCGTGAGCCAAGTGTGCGCGCCAAAAGGTGTGTACCGGTACGTTGAAACATCTTGAGCTGGATGAAGGCAACCCTCGATACACGCGCCATTTGATCATACTACTTGGTACTAAATTGATGACCCGGAGCACTCTCTTTGAAGCTGTCAAGAGAACTCTCTGCTGCACAACGCACACGCGTTTACTTATTCATGCACCAACTGTCCTACCGTGTACTACATTAATGTCCAAGAAGATGCATACAGCGAGAACGCCACGTCGCAAAAGACAATAGTTTTGTACATGAGTTACCTATGAGTCACCTGCTTCGTTGTTTGCGGGGTCTTGGAACCGAGTCGCTTGCATAGCGGTGCCCGCGGGACTTCCAATGACGCTCACAGCGACCTTGTTGCCGCTCGTGTCGTGCACCAACGCAGACGCATACTGGAGCTCGCTCGGCGCAAACAACTCGTCAACGCCGTGGAAGCGCGAGTCGCCGTGCGCCAACAGCCGCGTCATCTTGCTTGGCGCGCGATCGGGTACATGCGACGAGTACGGTGTCTTGTAGGCCTTGTGCCAGGCGGCACACGTCTTGTAGTAGTCCTCAATCGCTTCGTCTGGCGTTCTTGCTTCGTGGCGATACGGCGGTCGCACGTGCTTGCACAACGCACGTGAGTAGATCGCATAGCTGTCGAGCGACAACCGATGCACTCGCCAGACGAGCTCCACGTCGACCGTCGGCGTAAGGTGCGGCCCTCGGAGCGCCATAAAGTGCTCGTAGCGACGAATGGCCGCGGCAACGACGGGCGGGTGCGTCCAATACTCAAAATGCAGGTCGATGGCCTCAATGAACGCTAGATCGCGCGTCATGGCCTGTACGAGGTCGACCGGAAACGCGCCGAGGGCGTGCGTCTGGATCATGCGCCGTGCCGCCAGCCAGGAATTGCGGAGGCTCATAGCTTCAAACATCTTGAGCGTCACCTGCTTGGCACGGATGAGCGCGTCCATTTCGCGATCGAACGAGGACCAGCGGCCGTCGCGAGGTAGCGACCTCGGCGTGCGCACGTGACTGATGTAGGAGCCCGTCGCGGTGAGCTGGCTGTCGTACTGCAGCAGCGGGTACTCCTGGAGAAAGAGGGCGATCTGGTACGTTTCGTAGGCTACTGTGTTGCCGCAGCCAGCGCAACGGATCGCGCCACCGAGGAGGTGGATGCGGTACATGTCTTCGCGGGACCATCGTCGCCTGCAAGCGCGGTGGGGGCACTTGTTGAGAATGTCGCGGAGCGGCGTGTCAAAGGCGACTGTATCGTAGCGGCTCTTGTAGTAGACACCCGGCGCGAGCGATTCGCGGCAGTTGAGGCAGTCGACCTTGTGCCGCTCGATGTAATGGTAGTGAACTTGGTGCGGCGCAAGTTCGGTCGCGCAGTAGCCGCAGACGCCGAGAAAGGCCTTGGACGTCGGATCCATACCTGCCGACCGCGTGCCGAGCGCGAATTGAAGCGTATCGAGCTGGTACACGAGGTGCGGGTACGAGTCCGTGGGCGCCGGATTGTCGCGATGGCGAGCGACGTAGTCGGCTTCCAGCGCCAGCAGGTGCTCGTACAAGGCCAGCGGGCTCGCAACGCCAGATGTGCCTGGCCCGAATCGCGCGCATTCTGGCCACGTGTGCAATGACG